CCTCTGAGGGATGCTCCACAGTTAGTGCCGCACGATAAGAAAAGCTCCGGCAATGGTTGGGTGACTATACTGTGATTAATGGCACAGGGCCCAAGCGACATTTGCATACGAAATTGAAAGCAAATATTTGCACTAAAAAAAACATGTAGCAGTGCTCTAGTCGGGAGTGCACGACTACCCGTTACCCTCAACCTCGCGTCGAGCATACTTTGTAGACATTCCGTCTGTGTCCCTTTGATCCACACTATGGAAAATGCATTCTCGACCTTCGGTGCTTATAGTCCGATCTTTATGCAATTGTATATACCGAATCGTAACCCCTTACCTTTCAAAATGAGGAGGTATTCAAAATATGAATTTATTTCTATGAGCTATTCGAGAATCTAAATACCAAACAAACCAAATAATCTAGCTCCTATAAAATTCGAGTTATGCTTAGGAAGCCAAGTCTTAAAATCGATTTGTATCGATATTTTCGAAATGGGATGAGTTATCGAGTAAAAAAGATAAAAAAATCGTAGGTCATACACATAAAAAATTTGATGTCTCTGACTTTTGTAGTTCTCGAGATTGACGCATTCTCAAAGATGAACAGTCAGACAGACATGGCTAGATCGGCTCGTCGTTCTGATCAAGAATATATGTATATATTCAGAGGGTGCGGAGATCCGTACTTCTGTCTGTTACATACGTTTGCCCTTATAGAATACACCCTGTTTACACAATATCAATTAGTTCAGGGTATTAAAAATAAAATTGTGGAGCCAAGCACACAGCTTTGCGCTAATTGCACTTTGACTTCTCAACCGTATAGATGCCAATGAATTTGCGACATTGTGTATACAGTACAGTACGGTATAGACACATGTGCTGGGATTGGGGCTGGTAGTTGGCCTGTTTGACTGTCTGTGTGTCAGTGTCCTTTTATGTCTGGCTTGACAAAATTAGCAAAGTGTTTCACAGCACGGTGTCAGTCTCAAGGCCTCTTCATGTCGCCCAGACGCTTGATTTCGGGCGCCATTTGATGAATACCTTCATTTATTTTTATCGCGTCTCAGTCTATTTATGACAAGCTAAATTAATTTCACGGCTAAAGGTTAAAGGTGGAATATTCAATAGAAATTTCGAGCAAGCACCTGCTAATTTTCGGCTACCAGCTTTTCAATTTGTTATCCTTTCTAAGCATAAAGAAAAATCAATATAAATACCTAAATGAAATCCACACCGAGATTAAAGAGCCATTTTAAAGCTGCAAATGGAACATTGGCGTAGGCAGGAATCCCACGAGTCTAAGGCTTGAAATAATGCTCTCATTTCAAATGCGCATATTTAGGCTCGATGAAAGGCTAAACACAATTTATGGGATTTGCATAAACGAAATAAAATGTTGTTATTTATAAAAATGGGTTCAGGCGCAACATAATTTTTTAAATACTTTGAGACTTATTTCGGGTTTATATTTGAAAAATGTATAAATATGCATTAGCCTATAAATGGTACTTGACTTATCGAGGGAATAAATTTATCAGGATTGGAAAGAAAAAACTTTTTTTTCTGAATTTTTCCTTGAGAACATGAATAAGAAGTAAGAGAGCTCTAGATGGGAGTGCCCGACAATGACATACCCTGAACCAACACCAAAATCAGCTTGCGATAGGGGGGCGACTGTAGCTATAAAATGAAAGATGCTTGATCTGTATACGTATATTATTCTAGAAACTACATGTCAAATTGGGTGACTGTAGCCATTAAAACAAAAGAGATTCGTTCAAAAAACAGGATTTCGATATCGATTCTTATCGATTGCTTGGAAACGGGGCAAGTTATCGATTATTAGAAACAAACTCGTACTGCACGTGCACCAGGAAGACGATCAAAATATAAAGTATCTAGCTCTTATAGGTTCTGAGATCGACGCGTTCATAGATACGGACGGACAGACGGAAGGACAGACAGACGGACAGGCTAGATCGAATCGGCTTGTAATGCTGATCAATATATATGTATATTCTTTGTGGGGTCGGAAATGCTTCCATTTGTCTGTTACATACATTTGCACAAATACTTAATACCCTTTTTACCCATTATCAATGGGTTCAGGGTATAATAAAATTATATTATTCGAATTTTATGTACTTCCAAATAATAATTTAAATATATTTTTACACTACTAAGAATCCTAAATTTCAGATGAAAACAATAACACTAGTAACAATGTTGCTTTAAATGCAAACCCTATCAATATGAATATTCGAAATTCGTTTTGCTTTATAGTACAGACAGCTATTATAATAGATTGGCATTTCATATAGGCTCAAGTCCCTTGGGCAAGTCCCGAGGTCCACGCACATGAAAAACTATCAAAAGAAATTGCGAATTAGCAGTTGAGGCATTTATGAACTTCAGCCTGCAACTAAACTAAAATTATGTCTATTTATGTGGCCCTAGATATATATGCGTATACCCTGTATTTATTTTTAGTAGCCATGGCTCATTAGCAGCATCATTTCAGCAATAGATATAAAGGGAAGGGCAGATAAGTGGGTGGATGTGAAAGCGAAACGATATACAATCTATTTGAATAGGTTGAGGCTTGAGTGTTGGCATGTGTGAATGTGTGTGTATGTGTGTGTGTGTGCGTGTGGGCGCCTGGAGTGCTGATATGATGTGGCTACAGCACCACAGACAGAGGAGCCATGAGTATTGAATGTGAGCTAATTTGCCTGAACGCTTGGGGGCGCTCAAGTAAACTGAAATCCATTATTATGTTTGCCGAACAGCCGGTACTTATCATTGGGAATACTCTATGGTTATAGTATTTGGGATTATGTATCGCTCATGCATCGCTATGCGGGGGTCTTGGAATGCTGGCCTAGCTCATTTGGATAATATCATTTTGATCAAAACAATTCACTTAATTTGCGCAAAGTGAAAGGAAAATAAAAATAAAACAAACAATAAGTTGGAAAACTAAGAAAAGCAAAGAGAACGAAACAAAAGTTTCACCTGCAGCAGCGGAAAGCCAAACAGAATGACAACAACATTCGCAACGAGGCGCCGCACAGTGGAATGGCGACCATTGTCATTTGCAAACGGTGCGACTTAATTTCTGTGCTGCCGCGTGCACATGCCGTGAGATGGTCGACAGCGGGTTAATAAGGGGTACGGGGAATGGGGTGGGTGGAGGGCAGGACATTCGTGTCTTTTGGGACGTGTACATGTGAAAATGCCTGCCGGAAATCGTCTGCATTGTGCGAGATAACAATTTTCATGCAATGACCGAGACGACCCAGCCAGCTAACCAATGCCCCACCCAACTACCTACCGCACTCATTACTTGTAATGGCGCTTGATGGTGATGATGACAACTACAGCAACAACAACAACAATAACAACGGGAGCAACAACAATGGTGTCCAGCACAAAAACAAGCAACTGAAGCGGAACCGGGCAGCGGATTGCATTTCAAGTGGCATTTCTGGATTCTGCATTCAGTTGGCCACTGAAGCCGATAGCCATGCACCATGCCAGGCCAGGCCAGGCGATTCGAAATGTACTCGTAACGTTTAATTTCCGTCACACAGAGAGAGACAGACAAAGAGAGAGACATAGAGAGATAGAAAGAGAGAGAGAGAGAGATACAACACACAACATGTCTGCGGCTAATATAAAACGAAGAATGCCATGAGGTACGACGAACAGCGCATTATGTGCAATGGCGATGACGATGGCGATGAGGGTGAGGATGAGGATGCAGATGACAACAGTTCACCAGATCCAGTGCCATGTCCTAGTCCGGTCGCATTCGCATTCGCATCAATTACATAACATTCGAGCAATAATCGTTATGAACGTGCGTTACGGTTTGTTTGGACTCAGCAGTATTTGATTGCTGATTTGTTCCCGTTATGGCGACACGTTAATCCAGACCAGAAATATTTTGTCATATCCACTAAAATATAGGAATTGCGAACATTTGTATTGGCAACATTTGTGGACGCTGGAATGCTGCTCATTGCTATTGCGTTTCTATCAAATTCGTATTTAAAATTGAACCAATTCCCAAATTTTTACCATAATCAAAAAAATGTGTTAGTTTATGACATAGTTGGTAATTACTATGTTTTTTGGTCCCAACTAGATGAATATAATTAGAAATTAATACACAAAAAATGCAATGCAAATTTATTTGCCTAAAATTGTTTGGAAGTAATTGTAATAATTCGGGGATTTTTGAATATTCTTCATGTATGTTAATAGTGTCTTCTGAATAATATTCTTTTCCATATTTTTTGTTTTTGTTTCCTTAATAACAGCTATATTAAAAATAAAACGAATTTAAGAAAAAATAGAAAAGATAACAAAATTGATAATGTTTTTTGAAATGTTATACAAAAGTTTTAATTGAAGTTTTTGTAAAAAGAAATTTGATATAAGATTTCAATCTGAAAGTCGTAACACATGACCAATTCTGCATCTACTAGGGATGAAGAAAGTCGGTAAAAAACAAATTCAATTATTTTTAAATAAATTAAAGTAAATTAAGCAAGATGAAATATGATATACAACATTTTTGCATGCTTAATTTATGACTTAACTTGAATGATGCAAATATTGTACAATTATAAATTCGATGAATCCAAAGATAAAAATTTGCATATTTAGTGAGAGGAATATGTAGCGACTAGAGACTAAAGTAATTTTAAGCTGTGAGCTCCATGACTTTTTTCCCTTTAAGAATTGTAGAATTTTATCAAAGAAAAAAAAAAACAAAAGCAAAAAACAAATAAAGAGAAACCCAAAAAAAAAAGTGAATGCCAGCTGGAGATGGGCATAAAAGCTTTGCCTTCGCCAGGTGGGATTATGTGCTTTGTTGTCGAGCCTTTGAGAATTAATTTGAGCATATATTTTATGACACTCAACTTTAATATTTGTGGACATATTTTCTTCATTTGTCTGACTGTCTACGTTTGTTTCGTTTCGGCTCGCTCTCTTTGCAGCATGGAGGCCACCGACTACGCAGGACTTGCCGGCTGCACAATGCTCGCCTTTGTTCTATACTTGAACACATTAAACGCCGGATTTGTCTACGATGACAGGTGAGAGAAATTTAACCGAATTAAAAATTCCATATGTCAGCAAGTTGACGAAGGTAAATGGGACTCCAGTTTACCACGTCTGGGTCTCAGCTCTGGACGACAATTCTGGCCAAGTGGATGGGTGCTGCAGAATGCTTATGATTAATTGGGCCGCCAAGTGCCGCCGTTCGTTTGATAAAAATCACAATAATAAATTTTCGGTTTGCCTAATTGTAAAACTGGCAACGAGCTGCCAGCTTATCGCTGTATATATTTTCTTCTATTGTCAAAATCAGACGATGGCTGCTGGCGAGCAAATTAAAAACAAAAATTGTTGATTTATGTTGTCGTTTTGCTGGCAGTCACTGTACAAAATTGGTCTGAACTTGTTCTTAGGCTCATTCTGTTCGCTCACCTAGCATTGAAAGGCTGCTAACGCATACCCAAACCCAAACCCAAACCAAGCGCAAACGCAAACGAAATTACCCATAAATATCAAAAGTCATGTACAATGGACAGGAATTTCCCCCGAGGACGAGCACTTGGACCACCAGCAGCAGCAGCAGCACCAGCAACAGTCAGGCGGCAGCCACAGTTCACATTCTGTACACCGCCGGACACGGAGTGACCCTCCCCCTCCCCATCCAATACCTCTTCCTTATGCCATTTCCATTCCCATTGCCATAGACGAAGTCAACCGCTGCGTTTCTGGACGCCAAGTGACGCCACAACTACAAAAACGAGCAAACAATTGTACTGTGTACAGCCAACTGGAGGGGGGCTGGTTGTGGACAGGGCTTACGAGGGGCTAGTAGCATAAATGGGAAGTTATGCACAAAGTGCTCAGCCAAAAGCTTCAGTTGTAGCTCGTTATTTTGTGCAGTTCCTCCTGTTTCTATACCCTGTACTACAGAAGAGATCCAAGGAGGCATGCTAATGCCAGAAAGTCAGATCCAAAATCCTTAATGGACATTGTTATTATTATGATTAAAAGCACCACCTGGTTTAATGGCTTCAGCAAATATAAGGAATTAAGCTTGCATATTCAAACATTTTAGATAGAGCAGCTCCAGAAGCTAACAATAACTTTATAAAGTGCCAACTGTTATACCCGGCTTTGCCCATACCATGTGTCTTTTTACAATTTTGAGACAAAACTTTTCCAACTATGGAAGTTTAGATTTTCCAGTTGTACCCTTAACATCGGATTCCACAGTTGCAGGTTGAATTTCCAAATATTTATTCAAGAATCATGATACTTCACTTATGCAACCTGTTTTCTCCATATTCGGAAACATTTTCAGAAAGATCCTTGTAAACAAGTTTCCACCCGATTGGATCGTTAATAAAAAAGTTGCATGCAACCGTTTGCCACTTAATTTTTCACAGTCGCAGCTGGACATTTTCACTAAAAACTTAAGCTGTAGAATTTTAGATATGCATTTAGGTAAATTAGTACCTATATACAGTATCATCTAGTCAATAACTTTTTAGATAGCGCTTACTTTGTTGTGCCTTTTATTTTTTTGGTTTCGCCAGAAAACAAGCACAAAACTTACAGACAGACTCAAATAATAAACGCAACTTATATAACTCAGTTCCACCTTAGCCCCAATCCCCGCTAGCTGAACAAGGCGTCCCTTTCGGGGACAAAAAGTTCTTGGCGAGTTTATGTTTTTTGCCCAACAGCGGATGCTCCTGTGGTCACTTTCACGCAGCTGCCAACACCACTGGCAGTGCCTACCTATGCAGCTTCTATTGTTGTTGTTATTGTTGTCGTGGTTGGTGTTGTTGTTGTTGTTGTTGTTGTGGTCACACACACAGAACATGGCCACAGTTGCCACATGAGCACAAGTTATTATTGTCAAGCCAAGCCAAACAAAACATGATTTATTAAATGGCAGCATTCCCTTCAATTTGTTTCCTATCAACTGGAAAAAGAGCAATGGCCAATGCTTATACAGAGGCGATGGAAAAATTGTTGTGGGGGCTTGGGTGTGTTGAATGGGGATGGGGAGGGGGAGGAGTTGTGTGGCATAGCGATCCATAAACATTTTTCACGTGTGTTGTGAATTGTTTCATGTTTCGTCGTTTTTACCATTTTGTTTATACTCACAGGATATCACATTTTATAGGTATGGGTATAATATGTATGCTGTTGTACAATAGTTGCAGAGATATGAGTTTTTAAAAAGTTTCGCATGATATATTTCGGATACAAATCACAAATTAAAACGAGTAATGTTCAAAGTTACGGGCCATATATCGTAGGGTGATAATAAATCCATTTAATTAAGTGTCTCTGATGATGGGAGAAACAGAGATTATATATAAATTAAAAGGAAGCATAGAAAGCTTTTAACTTTAAAGATTTGATAAAGCTTCAAGTGACATTAAAGCTTCACATTAATTATAAAGTGCTTACTATTTATATTAGTCTGAAGTATCTTATTTAAAAAGCTTTAAACATGTTTTAAAGCTCTTTTACATACAAGTTTTCAGTTTTAAATCATATTAAATCTTGAGTCTTATAACATTGTGAATATTATTTCAAGCATAATAGCTTTAACCAACTTAAACTTTTCAATTTGTTTTCTAATATGTGCTTAACTTTAAATATGATAAAAATTTTTGAGAGCTTTCAAGTGCTTTTTTAAATTGTTTGCTTAGAATAACCTAATAAACATTTTGCACAAGCTGTACGCAACTTTATTTAAGCTCATTTTTGTACTATTTATTTTGTTGTAATAATGCCCAAAGCAGGATTAAATCTTGAATGCTCTCGAATTGTTGCCATAAAGCTTAGCTGCCCTACAGGTAGACAATGTATATCATCTTACCCCCGAGGCGACACTCCTCTCTGCTTCAAAGTGCTTTCATGGCGGATTTTAAATAGGTTTGCCTACGGTCAAGCGTTTCACACCTCACAACTTGATATATTTGCCATTCCAAAAAAATAAAGGTAGTATGGAAAAAATAAGAACAACAACGCAGCTAAAAAATGTTACCAAAGAGCCAATCTGCAGTCTTACAATAATTTATGTGCCATATTAAAAGGACAGCGACAACAAACGCCCAGCAACAAAAAAAAGTATGGAAACAACGTTACGTATACGTAATTTTTTGATGGCCACACGCCCGTAAGGCTCCAAGCGCACCTCCACTTCCACGTCTGTAGAATAGGTGGAGGGGGCGCCGGGTACCAACGGCATTTTGTGCTTCTTTTTTATAGAAAATCGAAAATTTTCACTTTACATAAGCAGAAGCAGCTCCACAAAACATACAAGTGTTTGTGGGTAGCCATAACGCCGGCGTGCCAGGTAAGGGGAGCAAAAGAAGGTGATAAAGAAATGGGCGGGAGAGCGGAATAGCGGGCTAGGTAGGGGGGGAGCCAGTTGAGTATGGTATGTTCACATTGGGTGTCCTCCTCGCTGCTGATGCTATGATATATTGTCTTCAACAAAAGCCAACCACAGTCCTGTGAGTGCGTGCGTGTGTGTGTGGGTGTGAGTGTGTAGAGGCGAGACTCCAGAATACAGTGGAACGATTTCCTTACTCGAATTCGCAAATTATTGAATATTATTTGCTTCGAGCGGAACCTCCCCTATAAAGACAATTACACTTTTTCATCTATAAAGCAGATCCTCAAATAAGTTTTTTACCTGTAAATAAATCGGATTGCTTGTACGAATGCGTCAACAAAACTAGTCAAAAGCATGCTTATATGCAATAAAAATACAGCTTCAAATCAAAACCGATGACAGTAGTCGACAACGATAGAAGCAAAAAACAGTGTATGTATTTGATTCAAAATCGATAGAGCTTATCGACAGCAGTAATCGATAACACTCGTAGATATGCGTAAACGATAACAACTGAAAATATATTAAATTTGTAAAGCGATAGTATTTATCGATAATCACAAAATAGTATTATTAGTACAGTTTAAAAGGCATAGCAAATAATTTGAAACCTCGTTAACCAGAAAATATATATTTTATAAACTTTAGCTCGTTGCTTGCTTCTGTCTACGGAGTCCACTGTCTCAGCCTGTGCCTTGTGCCTCTGGCTACGGCTCGGCTCCAGCCTTGGCATAGTAGCTCCTGCTGTCTACTGGCTCCAGTGCCGGCTCCTGCGCCGGCTCTTGGCTGCGAGTAAAAAGCGAACGATAACGGCAGCTACTACATGCCACACTTGTAAGCTGCTTGAAGCTTGGCATTTTTGTTGCTGCTGTTGCTGCTGCTGCTGACAAAGTGCCCCACCAATGTTGCCTGCTGCTGGTGGTGTTGATGTTTTCGTTGTTGTGCTCCCCCCTGCCACGGCCCCTGCACCTGTCCTGAGAGTATTGCTATTCATTCACTAGTTACGATGATAAAGCACAAAAAAGGCACTGCGGAAATTCTGCTGATGAGACGATAATGTTGACGCTGACGTTGGGCGACAAGTTTCAGTGTCGTCAAGGCAAGCTAGCTCCTGCCTCGCCGCCCACCACTCCCCACTCCCCAACCGCCCCTTAACTTGTGCGTTGCGTAGCCAGAAATTAAGCCGAAAGGCAGCACACACAGCATGGGGCATACAATGTCCCCCCGGGTAGCTCTTGAAGGTATGCAGCCCGAAATGCTTTTCAATATTTGCCATCGTTCGGCTGTTCTGCTTGAAATCCTTGCAAATGAGGCGTAGCTAAATTTTGTTGTGCGTTGGCATGGCGAAAGCAAGAGAAATGCAAAAATTGAAACTGCAAACCAAACACACACACACACATGCATGCTGTGGCAGCTACTCCAGCTCCGTGTTCAGTTTTTCTTGAGCTTTGTGCGCTTCCGATAAGAATTTGTTTGCTCTCAACAACATTTTTGTGGCTGCTTTGCGCAGAATAAAATGCCAATTGAAATTGAAGTGTGGATGAGTGGCCCAAGTAATGGCTGCTGGTGGTGCTGCTGCCCCACCAATAATTTATCCGCGTCTCGCCGTCGAATTTGCCAACCCAACCCCCCTCCCCCCTCCCCGCTCCCATGCATTGAGAATCCGCTTTTATGCTACCATTCATGCATATGAAAAGTTGCATGCAACACAAACACATAAATGCCATAAAAGAATTGACGCCATGCAAACCTTTCACAATATATACTCATGGTATTTCCGGCCAGCTGCTAAATAAAATATTCGTATTAAAATTGAAAAATACATTTATATATATACATATATATATGAAATGCTTTAGAAATTACAAAAATATTCTGGTTTTGCATATGAAGTGCTTTTATTATTTTTTGCCTTCTTTTATTTAATTTTTTTTGTTTTTTATTTATGGTTTGAAAACAGATTCGTCCCGTTTAGAGCCTGCAGCTAGGCAAAAATAAAGCCATTTGGTTGTGTTAACTTTTGAGCTTGTATGCCAGAAACCTAAAACTACAGCCCGCGGGGCAGTTAAGACCAAAGTAAACGCAAATTACTTTCGTGTGAGGGCCTCTCTGTGTGTATATGTGTGTGTGTATCTGTGCGTGTCAGTTATCTATGGGATATTAACAGAGCTTAAAGCTTGAAACAAAAATGTGTGCACATTTTAATTAGGAATACAAATAATTTTGTTTTTTTTTAACATGATATGTAATGTTAACATGCCTTTCCATTTGTTAAAGTTCACTTTAGATAAAAACTTAACTATATTCATTTTCTTAACCTTTTCCTAACTAAATGTTAATAATGTGTACAAATGTACTTTGACAAGCCAGCCAACCTCTCAGCGATAAGCTGCGAAGCCATTCTAATATTGGAAAAAAGTCCGTATTAAGTAACTTTTATATAACATCTCGACCAAAAATATTTTTCTTGTTGGGTATACCAAATAATCAGCAGGCGGCTCGACTCGCGGCTCGATATTTCTCCAGTTTAAAAAATTATGGTTTCAAGCGCTTTACACTTGTTATTAGTCTACAAAGATAGCAACATTTTCATGTGACAAAATTGTAAAAATCTTCGTTTGCCTCTTTGTTTTTTTTTATCAAATGTAAAAAAAATGTTGGTTATTTATGTTCACGGTTAACGTTTATTTTGCTCTGTTATCTATGCTATATTGTCGCTTGTTATGTTAAATAGTAATGTTAAGTTCTACATTACGATTTTGTACCCCTATAGAGGAGGATACATCTCAGACTATGGGGACGAATATAACGTATATACTTATATTCTTGATACTGATCAACAGTCTGTCTGTTCGTATGATTCTCTCTCCATCTCCCTCTCTAGCTCACTCTATCCCTCTCTCTCTCTCTTTCTCTCTCTCTCTCTCTTTCTATCGCTCTCTTTGTCTCTGTCTCTATCTTTTTTATAGCTATGGAGTCAGATTTAAATTATATAATTATATTCTTGATCAGTGTCAACAGTCCGTCCGTTCGTCAGACTCTCCATCTCTCTCTCTCTCTCTCTCTCCCCAAGTCAGACCACTGTACCTTATAGCTACCATACTATAAATACATAATACTTATTTTTAAAAGGCCTCTCGTAAGAAAATCACTCACAAATGTCGGAGCTTGTTATCCTACTTTTGTTTAATACTTGCTACACTCTTTTTTTATCCAATAACTTTATTTGTTTACCTTTTATCGTTGAAGTCCTGTAAAGCGTTGGCTGTGTAGGAAGTGAGGGAAAGTTAATTAATGGCATTTGCTGGATAACGTTGAAAACTAATTATGCATAAAATAGCTAAGGTATTATTGCAAACCTACTATAAATTTCAAACTGTGCAACAATAACAACAAAACAACACCGAGAACAACAGCAGCAATGGCCTGGAACTGGGCCCCAGTGCTGGTGGGTGCGGGTGGGTGAGGGCGTTGGCGGGTGAGGGAGGGGAGGTGTGCGGATCTGGGGCAGACTGGAGACTCTGGAAATCGATTAGAACAACAAGCAAAGGTACAACGGTGAGGCAATTACCAAAGAGCCGTTGACTTGGCCAGTGACAATAGACTGTGCAGATGTGTGTGTATGTGGCACAACAACTACAATAATAAGAACAACAACAATAACAACGACACCAAGTGCGCCAACAAATCGGCAATTAATCAAGGCACGAAATGGAGGCTAGAGGAGTCCTGTCGCTCGGCACTTTAACAATATTTATGCCGAGCACAAAAGCAAAAGGACAATAAAATAAGCAAAGGCACAGCCTTTGAATTTGAGTAGCTCAAGTTGCATGTGGCAGGCAAGCCGATCCGAGCTGTGCCCAATAGAGTGAAGCAGACTGGCGTCGAGTCGAGTCAAGCGGAGAGTTAAGTTTGGCAGCAGGCAGCATGGCGCAGGGCCTGGGCAGGGCGGGCAATTAATCATTTTAATTAATAGGACAGGTGTGCCACAGGTTGTTGTCGGGCCCAGGTAATGCGAGCTCATTTCTTTCGCTCTATCTTTCTCTCCTTCTCTCCCTTGCAGGCGCGCCATCTTGGGCAATGCGGATGTAACTGGAGCCGGGCCGCTGGCTCAGCTGCTGCAAAATGATTACTGGGGCACACCGCTGACGGACAGCGGCTCCCATGGCTCCTGGCGTCCGTTGTGCGTGCTGAGCTTTCGTCTCAATTTCCTGCTGGGCAGCGGTGCTGCCTTTCCATTCCATCTGATCAACCTCCTGCTGCACGGCCTGGCCACCGCTCTGGTCGTACTCGTGGCACGCACCCTGTTGCCCACACGTGCCGGCGTTTGGGCCGCCAGCGCTCTGTTTGCCGCCCATCCCATTCACACGGAGGCCGTTGCAGGCGTTGTGGGTCGCGCGGATTTGAGCGCCTGCGTTTGCAGCCTGTTCGCCTACTTGACCTATCGCCGCCACATGCTGCTCAGGGATTGGCGCTCACTGGCAGTTACACTGCTTGCGGCTTTGGCCGCGCTGCTATGCAAGGAGACGGCCATTACGACGCTGCTGCTATGCGGACTATGCGACGTGCTGTGCGGACTGGGACTGAAACACGCCGGAGATGACAAGGTGAGTGGCAGCTTGAGCCCTTTATAGTTAGCAGAAGTGTGAACCACGAACTCTGCCAATGACATTCAACTAAAGCAAGAAGCACTTCAGAATTATAAGCGAGCTGCTCTCAAACACGCAAATTTGCTTCGTAGGTCAGCTATTAATTAATTAGTTTTACTTTGGCAATTTGCTAGATTTACAAAATAGGCTGCCCTATAAATAACTAAAAATAATAGATAAGCCTTGATGCTTTGATCGATTATGAATGGGCTGCTCGCTATGCTTAGAATACAAAATGTCGTTAATTTAAATGTTCTGCTAATTATTAGTTTAGTTATTGAAATATTCGTCAACCGTAATGTAGATCGATCCCATTAGTCAAGACATATTCTATGCATGCATCTTTTCATTCTTTTAAATATAATTTAAATAACAATTTTGTTACATTTTCTGAATCCCTTTCTCAACACTGAAGCAATTCTTAAAATGTTAATTTCAATTAAATTCAACTTGTCGTAAAAATTTGATTACAGAAACCAATAAGTTTCATATTACAAATTTAATAACTCCTCAACCATAGTCCAAAAATGAAAAGTTCAGAGGAAAAAACGATCATTAAATCGGTTATGGTTGCCGAAAATTTCGGTTATATATGTGAGATAACCAAAAAAATCGTTTAAAATAAAAAAATAAAAAAACAAATTGCTTGACTAATTGATTTGCTTAATATTTCATTGTTCTAAAATTACAAAAATACTGTCCACTTCTCATTATATCTGCTATCTAGTTCTTAAGTTCAAGGAAGTCTTGATTTGAATACTAAGTAATTACTTAATTAATTCGAATTAATTTATAAGTTAAGTTAAGTAAATTTGAGAATTCTTTAAAAATTTCAAGTATAATGTTTATCATCCCATTATCTGTTTTATCTATTTATTTTCTAATTAACTTTTTATTTCCTAATTCCAGCACCGTCTGCGCTCTCTGTCCATTTTAAGCATTGCTCTGCTCTGCGCCGTGTATTGTCGCCTCAGCATTGTGCCACGCCCCACTGTTGCCTTCTCAGCCGCCGACAATCCGACCGCCCACGAGTCCTGCTGGTGGACACGCACACTCTCCTTTCTGTACCTGCCCGTGGTGAACCTTAAGCTGCTGCTCTGGCCACAATACCTAAGCTTCGACTGGGGCATGGAGGCCATACCGCGCATCAGGACGCTGTGGGATTCGCGCAACGTGCTCAGCGCTGGCTTTTATGCCACGTTGCTGGCCGTGAGCTGCAAGTGTATACGATTGCGCTGCAGTGCGCCCAGATCCTCCATGGACTATGCAGCTGTGGCAAGCATTTCGCTGCCGCTGCTGCAGCGCCTGGGCGGCAACAGCTGCCAGGCATGGCATGGACTCGTCTGCGGCTGCCATCATCAGCTGAAGCAGCAGCGATCACCGCAGCAGCCGAGTGCCTCAGTTATGGGCACAAGCTCATCTGCCTGCTGCCTCTTCCCAGGCAGCGCGACATCCGCATCGGAATCTGTGCTTGTCATTTGCATTGGCTTTTTGGTGCTGCCGTTTCTTCCCGCCTGCAATTTGTTCTTCCACGTGGGCTTTGTGCTCGCAGAGCGTCTGCTGTACCTGCCCAGCGTGGGCTACTGCCTGCTTCTTGGCCTTGGCTTTGGCAAGCTTTGGCAGCGTCTTAACGGCTCTGCCCACAGACTGTTGCTGCTAATCTGCCTTGGAATACTGCTGGTCACCTTTGGCCTGCGCACCGTGCAACGCAACCGCGATTGGCACAATGAGGAGCAGCTTTTCCGCAGCGCTGTGGCCATCAATCCACCCAAAGGTAAGTGCCGGACACGAAACAAGGCCAAAGTATTATCAAACACGACAATTATATAGACAAAATGACCTTTAAAAGCTTTCAGCAAAGGAGCTTGAGAGCTTTAAGCGAAATAAATTGAATGTACTCTTAAAAGCTTACTTTATGTAATTCTATTTTATTTTGAAATATCTAAATATAGTGCTAAAAGCTTTAATAAACAGATATTTGAGAGCTTTAGGCTAAATAAATATATTCTTTAAGAACATTTCTATTTGTAATTCTTTTCTATTTTGAAATATTGAAAAATGAGTTGAAAGCTTTAATCAAACGATTTTTTAAAACTTTAACCAAAAGAGGTTTCAAAGCTTTAATCGAAATATATTTAAAAGCTTTAATGATAACAGTTTTGAAGGCTTTAATAAAATGAAAACTCGTTCTTAGAAAGTTTTGAAGATGCAGATAAAAGATATAAGTGGTATCATAAGTAAATCAAAATCATCATATAGGCTCACTGAACAAAATACTTAAAGTCCGCCCAGTTTATAAGAAGAGTTTAAAGCTCTGAGTTGGATTAATTGTTTGTACTGAACACAATTGTCTTGAAGAGCTAAGCTGTATGTACTTGCCCGAATGCTGAAAACACTTGTAACTCTTACTAATCGCTTTTAGAAAGATTTTTACTAAAATACGTTGAACATACTTGATAAAATTGCAACTAAGCTTGTTCAGCTTTAAATGAACTGATCAAGTTTATTAAAGCATTGGATTTATTAATTACTGAGCTTCCAATTTATTCCACTTAAAGCTCATCTGACTCTCAGTGGCATATTATTGAACTAGTTCTACTTTCTTTACAGCGCTTGGCAATCTGGGCAGCGTCTTGAGCACCCAGGGACGCTACGAGGAGGCCAGGCTGGCACTAGAGTCGGCCATTGCATACCGCCCAAATATGGCAGATGCGCACTTTAATCTGTAAGTAAACGAAGCTTAGCACGTCCCACTCATCATCTCTATGCAGATTGAGGCGAAATTCGCGCCAGCATTGCAATTTTGCCAATTCAGCGTTTTTTTCTGCGGCTGCCAAACATGCAACCTGAATCCTCAAAATGGATGTCAGAGTTTGTGCGCAGCCTTTTTGAAAATTCAAAAGCTCAAAGTGAATGGCTGGCGCGACCTTGGGGCAGTTAAGGGGCTGCCAGGAGCTGAACTGCTGGCGGGGAAAGGCTTGGTCGCCGTGGTCTGAGGCACGCCAAATGGCAGCTGCTTCTGTCCTGTTTGCCACTTGGCAAAAACGTTTGGACAACATCTAAGAAGTTGTACAAAAAAAAACGCTGCCCCAAACCGCTGCGCGCATACAAATCATCTGGGCGTACGGGTTGGTTCGGAGCGGTAGGAATGGGCAACGGTGTGGATGCCGGACGGACACGGGCACATGTTCTGCATCTTTTGGATGGCAATTTGCATGCACTCGACAACCAGCAACAGCAAACAGTTGCCCGCTGGCTCTTCTACCTATACATTTTTTTGCGCGACTTTCCTTTACCACCGCCCTTTAACTTGCCTAACCCCGCTTCATGCTGAGGCTTTGAACGAGTATTGCGCTGTAATCCCCTGCAGAAACGAATGTGTGCCATTAATTAGGTCATGCATTGCAGCCGCGAGGGATATGCATCCCATGCTATCTAATCTCAGTTGCCATACAATTGCTTGCATATTAAAGTTTAGGGAATAGTTTGTTACACACAAAAATGATGTCAAATTTCGCAAATGATGAGCCAACATTGGGGCTACATCACGCTGTCATCTCCACTAAAGCAATCATAGCGCAGGGCTCTAGGCATACTAGTTAAATTACTGGGGAATACTTCCATTTGCGGATAATCTACTGCAATAATCGGAAAATGGGTGGAAAACAGTTGAGTGCAACTACTTTGTTATTCCCCCGATCGGCTTCAAACTCTTATGTTGTATAGCACTATTATTTGACGTGTCCTTGTTGCTAGTGTAGAGGTTGGAGACCATGAACATGTATATATGGGTAGTTATAAGTTTCACACAAGTGAAAACAGTACATCCAAAAATTAAACAAAAATACCTGATGCCGGACAACGCCGGTCAACTATTTCATTATACAATGTGTGGGTGTGAGTGTGGGCCCTGGGTCGGGACTGTTTAATTCGTAATACAAATTTGAACTCTTCAGCTAAAACTTGCTCCCAAAAGTATGCTCTATAAAAAGCATAGGCTAAGACAAATGTATTTTAATAACTTGGCTGCAAGCAGTAGCTAAGTTGGGCTAGAGTATTGGAATAGCCGGTGTGCACTAGACCTTAGGCTCACATAGTTGGACTCAATCATGAACTGCAAGTCTGATAAAGGGGAAGTAAAGTAAAAAAGTAATGTAAAAAGGGAATTAAAATATGGCATATAATCAGAAATGCATTAAAATGAAACAGTATCAGAACCTTCAACTTGTGATGTACACAAAACAGTTGTTATTTCAACAATTTTTAAACAGTTTCCAGTGCCTGCCAATCGGCCAGTGAAAGGGAGGACGCAGAAATGCGGCTTATAGCATTTGCTGGTAATAGCCGTGCTCGTTGCAAGCTCTATTGGCATTTCTGCACTGAGTTGCAGTTGATGCAACAATGCAGCGAGAAAATACGAGTTAAACTGCTGATGCATTACGTCGCCATCCGCTGGACGCTCAGTGGTTGGCACTGCGACTGCAGCTGCCGCTTTGGCTTTAAGGCCAATGACACTTGCACTTACCCACGCCGTCCCTCTCCCCCTTGCCATGGCAGCTGGCAGCAGGCAGCAGTGGGAACTATATTCGCGCTGCGGCGACCGCCCGTAAAGCTGAGCTGCCTTCCAGTTCCCATTGGGATCAGTGGCAGAAATGGCAGCGCAAACATGCGCCAACATGCCAACGCATTACCCCTGGCCGCACCCAGCCTCTTGTGTTCAACGACCGCACCTCCTGCTTGGCATATGAGCGCGAGTGTCCTTTTGAATATGCAGCCACGTCATTTTCAGTCCTTCACCCCTGCAGTCCTGCAGTCCAACAGTCCTGCACAGCCAAGCGACCAATGCTCATACGCCCCGTTGTCATTGTCATGATTGCTGCTGTTGTTGTCGCCCCTCTTATTGTTGATTATTGTGTTTGACATAATAGGCTTTACGCTCCAAAAAAAAAATAAAGAGAAGGAAGGAAAGAGGAGCATATAAAAGAAGCAGCAAACGAAGGCCAGAAATCCTTTCGCTTTGCTTCTTTGGCAAATTGTAGGCAAATCCCTTTTCGTTCGCTTGCCAACTTACATCCAACTTTTCCCGCCGCCGCTCACCGACAAAAATGCAAACTGAGCTGGCGACAGCTGTGCGCCCAATACAAATAATTGCGCACGACTCCCGGTTGGGCACCCGGTGTGCGGAACCGCAGCAGCTGCTCAGCTGGGCCAACTACCTTGCGTCGCATAAAGGAGTCTGTAATCATGCGAGTCTAGTACATAATTCCCCTGCCCCTACCCCGCCAGTTGCCAAATTGCCTTCATTTAGAAACAGAGCGTAAAAGCTGCACGAGAAAGCGCCAGAGACAGAGAACCGAAAATAAGAAACTAGAAAACTCAACTTGGATTCGACGATGCGTAATAACAAAAAAGGAGAACAGTCCCAAGAAAATATAGTGTTTAGTTGGGAGTGTCTGACTTGGCGATACCCTGTGCCCGGAGGCGAACTGCCACACCTCCCTATGCACATAAACACCAAACAAACATACATATATGCACATAAACACAAAGCATACGATTTTTAGAAGAACATACTAATCATGTCAATTTCAGGGATTTTATACAGTACACAAAAAATATGTATATACGTAAAGGTCATGATTAAAAAAAATTTAGGGGAACAAGGAAATGAGTATATACTACAAGAGAGTCTAAATACCAAACATGATTTTTTCACTCAAATCCTCGATTTATGCTTAAGAGAGAAGATTCCAAATGGATATTTATCGATATCAAGAAAAGGTAATGCAACATCAAAACAGGAAAATTATAAAAATGATGCTGCATTTGCGGTGCAAGAACATATATTTCAAATTGTAAGTCCCTTGCTTTTTTAGTTCACGAGCTCAAGGCGTTACAGACAGACGCACAGATAATCGGGTGGTAAAAGCTAGTTAGGCTCTGCTCTGGGTTTTTGACCGAGATTGTATATTCTTTATGGGATCGGAGATACCTTCATTACCAGTTTAACCCATTTTCAATGGAAAAAGGAAATAAAATCTAAATATCACCCATTTTTCCCTATTAAGCAACAGTTTCGAGTGGTTAATTTAGAGGGTACAGAGTCTTAACAGATATGCTTGTGAACATTTCTAGGGTATTTCATGTTATTTTCCTCAAAAGTAGTCTCTATTTTGTAATATAATTATTATTTGTATTATGTTATATCAATTTATTAGTAACTCTTTTGTATTAGTTTTAAAATAATCTCCTACATGATGACTTGTGTGAAGTGTGGTCTTGAAATTAATCAGATTAAAAAACGTTAAAAGCAATTGCTGCTTAAGCATAAATTGATAGAATAATAAAGTTATAATAATAAAGCGCAGAAAAAAGTTAGCATAAGAAAGTGTAGAAAATGTTTCCAATCAGTTGACATCTTGGAATTTCAAATAAAGTCAACGACATAAAAGCAAAGCGCGAACTTCATAACTGCTAAGGCTTCAAGTTATTAACTTGGCTCAAAGCGATACCCGATCCGCAGTTGCTGTTGCTGCTGTTACTGCTGCTGTTTCTCCGGCTGTCATAGCACTATCCAGAAGTCGGCAAGTCCAACTAAAGCCAAAGCACAGAATTCATTTTAACGACGGTGAAAGTTTAAGACGCTTTTCTCTCGCATTTTCCTCGTCTGCGCCTTGTGCTCAATGTTGGCCGTTGCCTTTGCAGCTTATCGGAAAGTTGCCTGATTGAATTTTTCTACACCCGCCGCCCACTTGCATTATGCAGCCCAGGCGAAAGAGGACAAGGGAGACAGAGGGGTGGCTTTGCCGGCAGCCGCTCTGCTACTAATCTCAAAGTCAAGTTGGGTCGCATTTCCATAAACACTTCATATGACGGCGTCGTTGAGCACCTTAAAGCTGCCAAGTAATAAAAAGCAAGCGCCTCAGAATGTCACATTTCCGGCGTCTAATCGAAAATCAATGTCAATAGCAAACCCCCCACGCCACCTCCCCCTCCCCCTCCCCCTGCGGCAACCCACATGCAACGTGGATAAGCAGCTGTTTGTACATTATTTACTCGTAAAGCCATCAATAGTCGTACAACGAAACACACCCCTCCCGTAATCCCGCACTCAACTTGCAACCTGCGGCTGCGAAATTTTCAGCTGCTTTTACCTTGTGCCACGTGTCCATGAGGCGCACGTCGTGTCTGCGGGTCTTCAGCCCCAGTGCCAGTCAACTGTCATGGATTTATTGTGCTGGATGCTGCTGTGATTTTTAGCTGTAGCATGCCACATCAAAGCTGGGGCAGAGTCTCACCCAGAGAGAAGCAGAGGGAGAGGGGGCAGTACTACAAGTAACAGGCAACCAAACACCAAAACCGAAAAATCACTGAGCTGTATAATTCGATTTCTGTTTTTCACTCTTTTTCCATCCCTTCCTCTTTTACACTAGCTCTTGTTTGCTTACCTGCCAAAAAGAGTGCAAGAGCGAGAAAGAGAGAGTGAGGGTGAGGGAGGGAGAGAGAGAGAATGGGTCGAGACAACATTGAAAATGGTATAAAACAACATTTTCGGTTTTCTATATTGTGGAATAGTATAGAATAGAAAAGTCGCACTCAATATTCAGTTGAGCAAATCCATCCGTTGTTCGCTTGCAATTCGCATGCATTCACTTGGCTCGTTTCGCATTGCTTCCCACTTGTCTATCCATTCGCATTGGCATTCCGGGTGGCGACTGCCCTGGCGGGATGGGACGTGGGGGGGGTGGCCAGGTTCTAAAATTTGTGGGCAACGGGAGACTTTACATGGAATCTCAATGGGTTGTTGCTCTACGATAAACAAAATTTAAGCAAATAAAAAAAATGCAATTGTAGCTACTGCATATCGAGGGCTGCTCGAAAACTTTTATTTGATCATGTGAAGTAGAATATCAAAATCAATTTTATAGATTTTAAAAAATTATGATACAATCAAATGAATGTATGTTAACAAGCCATGCTATTTTGTACATTCAAGAAGATCTATTCTAAGACAGTCCAACAAATAAAATCATAAAAATATATAAAATATTACACAATAATTATAGAATATATTATTAAAATTATCATAAAAGAAATACGACTATTTATTTGAATAAAATCATTTGGATAAAAATATGGAGAGTAAATGAAATCGAAAACAGATTTAGAAAAATTTAGAGGAGAATATTTCAAACGAATGTAAATGTGATCTAAGTATGTGAGACGTTGGGTGAACTTGGGTACTATATATGAGGAATATATGTTTCCAGATATTACATATCGATGATCTTACCAAAAAATAAAAATCACAAAGAACTTATATAAAGTTTTTTGATCAGAGCAATGACAATGCAAAACAAAAAACAAATGAATGAATAAGCATATCAGTCTATAATATAAATACGATAGTATAATAATAAGGATAAAAATACTAATAATAAAAATATTAATATTAATAATTATAATAATGATAATATTAACAATTAATAATTATTAATAGTTAAGAACATATTTTCAATTATCAATTACCATATTTCAAAATATTATCAAAAATGCACATTTGAATATGCAAATTTATAAACAGCCCTCGTGTTGATTTTATGGACTTCTTGTCGCAACTCAACACAAATTTTAGAACGCGTTGTTTGTTTGAATAACTTATTGTTGTTGTTGTTTCTGTGCTGTTGTTTTCGGTCGTTGTTGTTATTTTGGTGAAGCTGTTGTGCAATCTGTGCTCGGGTTTATTTTGCACTGTTTTGTTACGTTCTAGCTGCAAATAAAATGCATCCTTTATTTAAAAGCACTTATTCATGCATATACGAACTTTTTGTTTATATTAAAAACCCAGACCAAGATTGCCATGAATATCCATTCCCATTGATATTTGTTTATCCAATGTGCAAGCACAGATCCGTCGCCCAGTACACATTTTTAAAGCATCCATCCCCCCTACTCCCCCGAGTGTGTTCAGTTAATTAAATGAAGCCAGCGACGTGGCGAGACCGAATAAAAAATAAAAACAGAATACTAAGTGCACGCCCAGTGAAAATACTTGAAGGTCAACATTTTGAAGTATTTGAGCGTTCGCTGCAATTAGAGCAACAAAACCCCAGAGAAACCCTACAGAAACCGCTGCAAAACACTGCGAAAGTTAATTTACTCTGGCACTCCGGCACACTATTAGACCTGGGTAGGGTCCAATCTCGGGGCTAAGTAACTGCCTGCTTCTGTTTTTTTTTTCTGCTATCCACTTTTGCATTTCAAACAAGTTTTGCCTTATGGTTTCTTTATGTGAAAAAAAAAACACAAGACGGCAGAGAAGCAGATGAACAGTTGTAGATAAAAAAACTAAAATAACTCTAAAATGTTCTGTTACGCACAGCTGCTTGTATTTCTATAATAAAAATATAAGCTTAAGGCATCATATGTTAGGACTAAATAAATTCTTTAAATGCTAAAATTAGTTACTATTTAAAATAATGAGTCCTTTTATGTATACCCTTCAGGTGTATGATAGCTATAGAAGTATCCGATTTGCATGCTTTCAAAATGGAATTTACGTCGAAAAGCAACCTCAATCAAACTTAGGGAACCTAACCAAAACTTGCAAAACTGAATCGGATTGAAATCAGAATAATAATTTTTATACACCATGCACAGAATCTAATTGGATATAAAACAAAGGAACGTAAAATTAAACTCTTATACATTCAAAATGGGTTTGTTCAAAAGACTATTTATGATTGCAAAATATGATCAATATGATTGCGCAACTTTAAAACTTTTTTCATTGGGCTTAACAACAATTTGCACTATTTCAAATAAAAAAGGAAAACTTAACTATATTAGTTTATGATTCTTAATGAAAACTAAGATATTTGACGAGCCAAGGCTCGAACACAAACATACATCCGTAGATGTGGAAAGAATTTAATTAGAATTAAAGAATTTTTTCATTTTGCCGATTAATATTTCCGGAACAGTATTTTTTTTTATAGATTTATACTAGCAGAATACTCTCTTGGCAGCTTGCAAGTTTTTATAGGTAATATTTTGTTGCATACTTTCAGGGGCATCGTGCATCAACAGCAGCAAAACTACAGCGCCGCTCTGCCATGCTACCGTAGGGCCATAGAGCTACGCCCACAGCTGGCGCTGGCATATCTAAATCTGGCCACATCGCTCTTGGCCTGGGACAAGGACCGACACGAGGAGGCCGGCGCGATGCTGCTGGCGGGCGCCAGGCTGCCGGGGCATGGGGTGCGCGATCGCAACGCGCACGAGGAGGCGCGATACAGCGCCTACCTTCAATTAAGTGCGCTGCATCGCTCGCGGGGCAGACACCAACAAGCTGTGGAGGTGCTTAACGAGGCGCTGGCAGCGTTGTCCATGGACAAGCGGAAGCAACGCGCGGTGCTGCATCAACGCCTGGCGGCAGTGCATGTCGAGCTGGAGCAGTGGCCGGAGGCCGAGGAGCAACAGCGATTGGCGCTGCAGCTGCAGCCCGAGGAGGGTGTCGCATATGTGTCTTACGGCCAGGCGCTGGCCAGGAATGTAAGTGTGAAAGCTTGTTGCCAGCTTGTTCCTCGTTCTTTACCCTTTCGGTAATTTTGCAGTGCAGTCGCTATGCGGAAGCGGAACTGTGGTTCAAACGCGCTGTGGAACTGTCACCCTTGGAGCCCAGCACGCATCACCATTACGGTAAGATGAAGCAACACTTCGTGGTTACGTACACATATCCCTACAAGCTGCTCCTTATTGCTTCCTCCACCAGCTGACTTCCTGGAGCAACAGCAGCGCCCGCAAGAGGCGCTTGGATATCGACTGCGTGCCGCTGCTCTGGCGCCTCACAATTATGCCCTGCAATCAGCCGTCGCTGATGCAATGCGTCTGCTCAATCGCCTCGCCGAGGCGGAGTTGTGGTACCGTCAGGCAGCTGCTCTGCATCCGCAGGCGGCGCACGCACACGCCAATCTTGGCGCCATTCTGCAAATGCGCGGCCAACGGCAGCAGGCGGTAGAGTGTTACCGCAGGGCGCTGCAACTGCAGCCGGGGCATGCCACAAGTCGCGCTAATCTAGCCAAAATGAATGTCAACATCGATGCAAGCACGTAGCAGCGGCTCATGCCGAGGCTCTATAAGTACTAGAAATAATCGGTAATACTTCAGATTTGCCAATCAACAAGAAAGGATAAAAGCTAAACGGGAAACTAACAAACATAAGAACATACGATAGATAGACTATATTTAATTAATTATATATATATATATATATATTTAACTAAACATGAATGTTATCGATTGTAGGCAACGATTAAATATAAACATATATTTTACAACACTTGTTTGACTATGTAAATCAAGATTGAACCAAATGATGGTAAGTACGAGAGTAGACAGTAAATACATACGTATACAGCTGCAGTTAAAATTCGAGAAAGCATACAATACATTTTGGTGGGAAATTTGGGTTCTCTCTGTTATATTTGAAGGTTACAATCTTACATGAATTTTGACTAAGAATAATGTTACCAGATTTTGATGCCAAATTGATCTAGAGGCCAAACCATGAACAAAAAAAACAGACCTTATGAAAATCGGTTGCGTTTTGACCAAGTTATAGGGGTGGGGGATTTTGACCTATGTCTAAAAAGAATATTTGAGGATACCATACCACCATGAATTTTGACCAAGAAATATGTTCCTTGATTTAGATGCCCGCCGGATCTAGAGGTGAAACCATGAACAAAGAGCCAAACCTCATGAAAATCGGTTAAGATTTCACCGAGTTATGGGGGTGGGAATTTTGGCCTGTGTCTATATATGATATTTGAGGGTACCATTTTAACATGTATTTTGACCAGACATCAATTGGTATAACATTGCAGAAAATTGACTTCCAAGAACTTTTTGGTTTTAGAGTATTCCACATATGTAACATATTACATACCAGCGAATAATTTTTCAGCCCAGAATTAACAACAAGGCAATTCACATAACTTTCGCTTGTAATTCGCAACAGGTTAAAGCTTACGCTCTATTAAATTCGTTGGAAATATACGAGAGTTCGTTACAGTTATCTGATTTGTCTGGCCCTTGCTCTGGTTGAGCCATCCTATCAGATAATTTATTAATTACGTTGATGCCAGCTAAAAATTTAAGCCCATTTAAAAAGGGAGCCCCCGATTTGATGTGAGAATGTCAATCTGTTGCCGGGTCAGTCAGCCAGTCGTAAGTAAGCGCACAGACAAAACCCGCACAGCAAATTACGAGCATATCCCATATCAAGCTCTTAGCATTTCATCTCGAAAACCAGGTGACAACCAGGCCACAGACAAAAGCCATAGAACAGACAGACAGGCCCAGACAGCCAGACAAAGAGACAGACAGAGGGACAGTCACTGGGGACGTGATAATATCAAGTGGCATTGCCAAAAATACAAAGAACTGAATATCAAGAACCGGAGTCCCACTCAAAAGCCGCAATGTTGGGTGGCGGCGGAGTGGTGCAGGGGGTTCGGTATGCTAGGAATAGTGCTCACTAAGCATTAAAAATGATAATTAAATTTTCAACAATGAAACCGAGTTGAGAACAAGGACACGCGCGCCACAACATATCGTATAAAGCTCTTAATCATAAACATGCGCCGGCACTTTACCTTTTGCTCCGCCCGCCCTTCAGCCAGCATATCACCCATTTTCATATCAATGGCATTGGGAACGGGTCGGACTCGGGAGTTCCGTAGTCTGCAGTGGCTGGCGGGCTGCTAAGCATATGCGCATATAAATTAACATAGACACCCGAGTATTTAATTAAAATTCCATCAGGCCATAGACAAACATACAAGGACATACACACACACACACACACTCACACACACACATGCGCACAGATAGAGAGAGAGATAGGCACACATTTTAGCGCTAAGCCGTGCAGAGTTGGCCTCGGGGCAAAGCCACCAAAAACCACACGGCATACGGCGGCCAACGAAATCTGTGAAGCGCGCCTCAGGCGACGTCGGCCGCGTGCAAACAAAGGCAACTGCCTTTCACCTTTCACCGCCCCCCGGCAGCAGACAGAATGCCGAGACGCAGCTCACCTGGTCGTGGGGCTTTCGGGTGGCATTGGGCAAATAAAGTTGGAGATGGCAATGGACGAGGACAGGTGGCAACAGAAGGCGCGGACAACAGCCGCCGGCAGCATCGATGCTGACTGATGAAGTGGCACTTCCCTGACAGTGGCCAGGTTGGAGAGATGTTGATGGGTATGATGATGCTGGGCATGATGATGATGATGATGTTGGGGTTGCCGTGATCGTGATAAGCATCGCATCGTAATTAAGTTGACGCAGCAGTTGAGAAGCCAGTCAAAGTGAAATTTTGCCAAGGGCCTGAGCCCTGCTCCCTAATTAAATATGAATTTGAATGGTTAAAGGCAGGCGCACAGTTGCGGGTAAAGTGGTTAGCACGGGCCTGGTTGTTAGCCGAACATGAATGAGCCTGTTGTCAGCTAGCAGATTGCTGCGTATTTTTGGCAAGCGAACCCTTCAGAGGCCAATGCAAACAAGTGGAGTGAGCTGACATTTTAAAATACCCTGTATTACCAAGTAAGCCAGAAGCGGAAACATAGTTTATGTACATTAAATGTTATCATAGTCAAAACTAATATATCAAAAAGCTCCTAAATGCAAAAACAAAATGTCCACATTTTATTTAACCTTTTTTTTTTTAATGACTTTAACTGAAATCAGGACTCTTGCCTAACCAGAATTTTTAAAATCTTTTTATATAGTTTCCGTTACATCTGGGACTAATCCGAAGAGGTTGGGCTAAGAAAAATTGTACTTAAAGCCACTTTCTTTATAAAAAGTAGAAAAAGATTTTGAAGCAAGGTAAAACCAAGAATTAAATTTTTGGTGCTCTCAAAGACTATACGCTACTATTGCTGTACATATTTTAGAAGACGCCAAAAAGGAACATGCCTCAAAATTCTGTTTTTTCTTTTTTTTCTACCAAAACAATTTTATACATCATATGTATAAATATATAAATCAAGTGTGCGTCATTTGAATGTGTGTCCCAGACATGACAATCTCAAATGTTGGCGGCCTGACAAACTCTCAAGACTTGAGCTAAGGTAAGATACGAGACCAACTTGTTTCCTTCTGTTTCTATACTCTTTGTATTCACAGCAAAGGAGCTCGGAGATTGGGTAAGTAAACTTATTCGTTACTCGCTCTAAGAAACTATTTACTCAAACTGAACCCCGCCAGTCCCTATCTAAGCATTGTTCCATTTTTCCAACTAAAGCATAGAAAGCACGCGCTTTAACGCTTATCCTGTAAGTCCTTGTATTATATATGTACATAAAATATAGCCCATTTTAATTTAAATTTAAATTTTTGAATATGGCCTAAGATATCATTAGACAGTCCCTGCCTTGCTTAAGCTGAATAGACTCTGTGTCTCCACCTTCTTATATACAGGGTATTAGCAAATCCTAGCCGCTCAATGAGTATTTAATGCGTCAAACTGTTTAAATTTCTATTGGTTTTTTTTATTTCGTTTTAGTTTTGACTTTTGTTTTGGCCACAGATGTTGTTTTTGTTTTAGTTATTGTTGCTGTTATTGTTGTTTCTGTTCTTCAGATTGCACAAAAACTCTAGCTTGGTTTTCAACTTTCTGACCGTTTACAGATAGCACACACACACACACACACACGCACACACACGCACACACACACTTATATAAAACACGCAAATGGTCATCCTGTGAAATCATTTATTTTCCACTTTAGCCAGCAGAAAACTCAGTCACACGCACACATAGATACACAGGAAAATAAAAAGAAAAGTTTTTAGTTAGCTTTTGATGAGGGTCAACTCAACGCTGGGCGCACTTTTCAAGTGCTCTGCACCCATTCCCACCCCTTCCAAGCTTCCATTGCCTACACGGTAGCCCACATGGTTACGAATGTTCGCAGAGCAGATTCTCTGGGGAAAAAAAAAAGAATTCAAAAAAGAAAAGTATGACAATAGTTGGGCTATTGTTTTTGACATGACTTTCTATCAAAAACAAATTTGGTCTTCTTTGTTGTATTACTTTGTGTCGTCTTTCTGTACTTTTTAGTTTTGCTACAAATCGAGTCAAACATGTGGCAAATGAAAGCCAGATAGCAATAGGGCGCATTATCACACACACAAACAATATCACTTTTTTTTTTTTGAAACTCGAAATGCAGTTGACAACTTCATATGCCATTTGGCCATTGCCTATGGACACGTTCTCGACATTACGACTATAAAATAAAAACCATTTGGATATTATACATTTAAAAAAATTGCGCACGGCAGTTGTGCAAATCTGTCAATTTAATTAAAAAAGCACACGAATCCATACAAGTTTTTTAGCGACATGAAAAAATAAAAATAGCAACTGGTAAAATGAAAGGCAAAATGTGTATAAATAGTAAATGGATATTATTAAGCAAAATGTACTTTTAAGTATGCCCAGCAGACCAATTTAGACTATTTTAAGTCAGGTATGGAACTTTTATCTAGGTGTGTGAGAATGTTGTGTGGCCTTACATCAAACAGATTTTCAAATTTGATAAGCTCTAATTTTCATACAAAATCAAATTGTGATTTTCAAATCGTACTTTTAGCTGATATAATAAGTTTAGTTTTGAAAGAGATAGTCGGGTGATCAAGTCTGTTTGTTAACCACTTTTAAAGGGAATTTCGATTTGTTATTTATCGTACCTTAAACTAGATGAGTTGGATAAAGAAGAGCCGATCATTAACCTAATCAGTGAAATATTTTATGAACAAAATTTTTGTTATTCAATAATATATTGACCTCAGTAGATGCCCAAAACAATCCTCGAATTATTTCAAAGAGAGCATAAAAATTATTCTCGCTGCTCAAATGCCCAATGTGTGCATCGAATACAATGCAAGCAACTTGGCCCTATTTATACCCTTTGGCAAAATACTTGCTAGTTCCTGGGACTTTAGAGACAACTAATGGGTTTTACCGACAACGCTATGAATGGGTCCAGTAGTCGCAAACTGCCGGAAATACTTGCATGCCCTATATATGTAAGTAATACAGATAGAACAGCGGAACGTAGACTCAGCTCAATCAAGAATTTGTATATTATTAATAATTTGGAACACTTTATTAACAATCCAAATCACCTTCTTCAAAAATATTAAAACTCAAAATATGTAATTGCTTATATGAACAGTAGATATACAAATATAATCCCATAGGATAGATTAAATTTTTAAACATTTA